TTCTCACCGCCTTCACTTTTTAAATGTTGTTGAGTTTTTTTTTCGGGTTTCTCCCACTGCTTCATTTTTAATTCTTTAGAAGCGACTAGTGAGGTGAAATGAGAAAAAAAAAAGATTGCAGTAACTGAAAGCATAGTTTTAAGATGCGGTGGAGGGATAATGCAATTGAATGTGAACATCCGCTGGTTGGTTGGCGTATTGAATGCAAACGTATGCAATATTTATACCATAGGGTAGGGAGCAAACAAAGCTAAATTTTTAAGCTCAATTTTTTTTTTTTTTTTTGAATTAAACGTAGTTAAAGTTGAGTAGAAAAAAAAAGCTAAATTTTTTTTGCTGATGCTAAATATGTTATGCAGTTTAGCATACTACCAATTATCTTAAATAATTTTTGCACTGTTAATGAAAATAGGCTAGGTTTTTGCAAGAAGCATTGATAGTAAAGAAACATGCATGATACACTATGCATTATTTTTTCATAGAATAGTATGGCAAAAAGAAAATTATGATTTTATCGTTGAAAAATTTAAGAAAAGTTTAAGTGAAGAAAAGTTCAAGTGCGTTTTTTTTTTTTTTTTTTTTTTGGGTATTCTTGTCTACTTTTTTTTTTATTTGCACAGAGGAATTAGTGAAATATCAGTTCAGCGATAGATGAATGAATCTATTAAATCAGTTATATTTTGTAGATAAAACTGCGACGAAGGCAAAAAAAGCAAAAAATATTAGATGCAGCAAATGAATCAAAAAATTCTCAAACTTCTAACGGTAAATATTATAAATTTTTTGTATCTTTTAATTTCTCTTTTTTTTCTTCTGTTAAAAAATTTCATATTTGGAAGAAAAAGATTAAACTTTTTTATAAATGTATATTTTAATTCTATCAAACTTTTTATTCTATAAAGGCAAAAAAAAAAAAATTGTTCTTTTCTTTAGAAATATTTTTTGTATTCTTTTTATGACTCGTTTATTTTTTTTTCTTTTTTTTACTTGATACCTACGTGCCTTTTAACGTAATAATCGGAAACGGAAACAGTTTCAGCAGATGCGTCATCGGTATCGGTGTGTATGAAATGCACACAGCAAACCTTAGGCTACCAACAGTTGCTGTCGTTTATCGACCCAACAGCTATGATCAATCCAAGTTTACTTACAGCTATATTAGCTGTATGCCCACATAACCAAAATGATCTCTGATAAACAGTTTCATTCTGTTCTTTTTTAGTTTTTTTTTTTTCCTATTTTGCATCAATTATCATTTGTTTCTTTGCATCTTTTTTTAAACCGCTTACTGCGTTTAACAATCGAAACAGAACAAATAAACAAACTTTCCCACCCTAATTCCTCCTCTCCCTTAAAATAAAAAAAAAAAATTGGTAATTTATTTCATGCTTAAAAGGCAGAAAAAAAAGCTCTACTAGAACCATATGCTACTCTATTTTGGCACTCGTTTTCTGCAGTTTTTTTGCTCCTTTTTGTTGACCATTAAGCAACAAATAAAGCAGTGTTCCAATCTTCCCGGAAAAGAAAAGAAACCATACACAAAAAAATCATCTGAAAAGTTGACTGATACTTTTGTTTTAGTTTCTATTTTTTTCCTTAATATTTGTGGGTATTTTTGTGTGTGTCTGTGTTTGTGTTCGATCTGTATTGGCGATTTATGTTCTTATGTATAATTTGCCATCAAAAAAAAAAAAAATCTTATCAAACGCAGCGGTAGATTTATAATTATTTTTTTTTGTTTACTTTTAATCTTCAAAAATGATGTTATTGAAGCTAAAATTTGTAACATTTTTTTTTCAGTGTAGATGTGTTTAAATTCAGAAGAACAGAAACAGAAGCAGAAATAACAATAAAACAAAAAAAAAAAAAAAAAAAAAAAAAAAAAAA